GATACTAAATCCAAGTATCTTAAAAAACAGTTTTTAAAAAGCTGTGTAGAGGAAAGGCATTAAGGGGCAAGAAGGTTGTTTTTGAAGTATTAAAAGGCTTCTACGGATAGAGTAAATATTGGTCTAGGACCCTACCAGAATCATTGAAGTGATACAGAATTTGGTACGGTGTAAAGGAGGCTTTATAACAATTAAAACCATCCAGCAGAATTCTGTACCTCAAGGATTGCCTAACTTGCCTAGCCAAGAGTTTACACATAGACTGTATTAAAGACGTTCTAGCATTAGTTGGTAAATGCTGTTGAGTTGTTGGAGTCTATAATAATTTGATTTTTATATATCTCACCGTGTTCAAGAATGGATTTGAGGTGTTTTATTTAATCGGGGTTTATAAACTTGGGGAAATTGATATAAAAGAGAGTAACACTGTGGACACAGAACAAAGACTTTTTGTTGTTGTTAGTATTGGAGATTGAATGCAAGGCCTTGGTCCTAATCTACAGTCCCAGCCCTTATTTTCTGAGCCAGGATAGGCTCAAACTTGTGATCCCCCTGCCTCAGCCTCCCAGAGTGCCAGGATTACAAACAGGGGTGCATCACCACCACATCTGACTCAAAGACCTTGATTGTGATAGACTACAAACTTTCGATTGGTGCACCTTTTGAGCACAAAACCATCTCAGTAACTTTAGAAAAGTAGTTGCCTTGTGGTTGGAGACAATGTGAATGAAGTCTTTGCTTTTTGTCAGTATTTTTTTATTATTATTATTTTATTAAGAAAAATTCAGAAACCGAGGCCTGGAGAGCATCCCTAAATGAACCCTTAGACAAACTCAGTGTGACCAAATGTGAAATTACTGGCTTTCTTTGGGGAAGGGAAAAAAATGTCAAGACAGTTCATTATCAGATTTTTTCCTTTTTTTTTATCTTGCTAGTTGGATAGGTGGAAGCTTTCCGTTGAAGCTTTCATTTGCATTTCTTATTTTATTTTGCAGGGCTGGGGTTTGAACACAGGCATTGCATATGGTAGTAGACAAGTGCTCTGCCAGTGAACTACACCCCCACATACCCCCCCCCATACTCCTACCAAGTAGCTGTGGTTTCAGGTTAAAGCATAAGAACAAGAAGAGAAACAAGATGGATTGGAAAGGCAGATCATGACTGTCATCACGCAAATGGATGTGCCTTTATTCTAGGAGATTAGATGACACTACTCTTTCCCTGGCTTAGTTTTCCAGTAGTCCTGAACTCAGCCCAGTAGTTACTATTGCAGAGGCCAACATGAGGGTACTGGATGATCCACCATGTCAGAATATACCAGTTGGCATCTCAGGATGCTTCAGGACTGGACTACTGTAGAGGGGAATTCAAGAACTGGTATCCCTGCAATTCTGACCTACTAGCAGCTGGCAATTACTGGACTTCTGATAAAAGCAAAGTTATAAATTGGGGTTCCATACCTGGAAGCCCATTTCATGTTTTAAAAATTTACCAAAACTAGTCAAAAATAGATGAAAAGGAACAGATATAAAAAAGTTTTTAATATTTACTAAATGTGTAAAACTAACAAATAAAAAAAACAACAGAAATGCATGTCTGTTACAGACAGGCTTCACATGGGCTTTTTGTTGAGGATGAGTTGTTTGTTTTATGGTGGCCGTGAAATTTAGACTTTGGAGTAACTTATTTTCCTAACAGACTTTTCTGTAGCCATCCTGGATACTTTTCACTTTTCCAAGAAGCTTTGAACTATATGCAAGAATGGTATTGCTTAACTTACAGATTTTAAGAACCAAATTTAAGCACATAAATGCCTCTGAAGATCTTTGAAAACACAGATAAACTATGGTGCTCCATGGCTATTTCAGTGTTTCCAATGAGCTTGTTTAATGTGATCAGTAAATATTAACATAGGGTCTTATTTAAGATGTTAAAAATTATAAAAGCAGAGGTTACAAATGGGGATGGCATTTATACATTCTGGTTATGTGTCCCTCTGAATTAAGAGAAAAGAAAATAAATGAGTCCTTATGTTCATGTAGCCTCCATGTTGAGAAGTGAATTCAATTCCAGGACCAGGCTTCATTGGGCCATATTCTGTTTTGTTCTTTCTAGTATATTAATACCAAACATAACTCACTGGTGCTTTGATTTTCTTGGTACCAGGTCTTTGAAAGAATGACCAAGAAATAGAGTTATAATCTTAACATTTTGGGACTTGAACTGGCCACTCTGTAGAATGGGAGCAGTAATCAATCACCTGTCCTCATGGATGAGTGAGTCAGGTTAGGCTGCCCTATTCAGGGCTCACACCAAAAGAGATCGGATAAACCCTGATCTTTTTTCTAGATCTAGTGTGTTCTCAATAACTACTGTTTTCAAAACCTAGAGCCATCCTCACTACAGAGGATATTTGTATTCTTTTAAGTCCCATTCATTCTTTCATACATGCCACAATTTTTTTTTTTTGGTACCAGGGATCGAACTCAGGTCCTTGCACTTTCGAGGCAGGCGGTGGAACCACTGAGCTAAATCTCCGGCCCCATGCCACAATTTTTTAAAGACAAGGTCTTAGCCAGACTTAGTGGAGCACACCTGTAATCCCAGCACTATGGAAGGCTGAGACAAGAGAATTGCAAGTTCAGGCCAGACTGGCCAATTTAGGGATTTAGTGAGACCCTGTCTCAAAATTTAAAAATTTAAAAAAAAAAAAAAAAAGGACTGGAATGTAGCTCAGTCTGGAGGCCCTGGGTTCAATCTCCAGTGCCACAATGAATGAATGAATAAAGGAATGAAGGAATGAACAGAGTCTTAAATGGAGCCCAGGCTACCCTGAACTCCTGGGCTTAACTGGTTCTTCTGCCTCAGCCTCCCCTCCATCATATATGACTGTTCAGCACCTGTTGTATACTAGGTGTGTCCCAAACTCCATTCTGTTCGCTGTGGATGTACATAGTATAAAAAAGACCCTGCTTTCCTTCCAGCTTAGGTTGTCTTACCTTCAGTTCTGATTTACTGTCTCAACTTTCTGCTGCTCAGTGACCTCTTCAGAGTCTCCAGAGCCTTAGCCTCCCCAGCACCACACCCTTTAGTTATTCCGTAACAGAGATCCCCTAGCACATAGCTGAGATCCTGATCAGTTCTAATGCTTCCATTATTTCAAAATAACGTTCTTAATTGGTCAAAATGTTCAAATATCCCACATTCACTTTACCACAGATGTTCCAAGAATCTCGGCTGCTGTTTCCCAAACTGTTCATTGGAAGCACAATAGCAGTTAAAATACTTTAACAATGGGCTGGGGATTTAGCTCAGTGGTTCTGCCACCTGCCTTGCAAGTGTAAGGACCCGAGTTCGATCCCTGATACAAAAAAAAATTTTTTTTCTGATTACTAAAGCCATAAAACTCAATCTTTAAAAAAAATTAGAAATCCAAAGAAGAGTGAAAAAGTTTTAAAACAAATCTATAATTCTATAACCCAACAGTATCACTGTAAAGGTTTGGTCTTTCCCCATCATTATGTATGTACTGCGTATATATTTATGACTTTTGATGTCTCAAGTGCTGGTAGATCAGATCCATGGAGGTGAACAAGTGTTCAAAATTAGCTTAATTGAGTTTTTAAGTGCTTTTGATTGAGATCATCTGCATGTGTAGCTCTTCTTTATGGTTTTACCATTGTCACCAATATAAATTCATGATGCTGTGTACGTAGTTCCTCTTATTGAGGCTACTGGAGTTTTGCTGCTCTACATTATCCAAATCCAACATGGGATACCAAGGTGGTGGAAAAGATGCTGCTTACAATTTGAAAGCATGCTTAGGAAGGCCAGTCATAAAGCATAAAACTTTCATTAACTGAAATATTTTTCTTCCAGAATGTATTTAACAAGTGTCAGTAATATAAACTGATTGCCATGCCTGTTTGCTCATTTATTTGCCGTCTCCCCACTAAGCTGAAAGCTCCCGGGCATGAGGGTGCAGTCCTCTTACTCCCACTGCAGCACCAGCACTGCCCACGTGGTGTCTGTGCAGTCAGTGTTTAGTGAATGGACTTCACTCTGTGACAAATGAAGAAATGAAGAACATTGACGTAGTTATACTGCTGTACATGTTTAAATGTTCTAATGTATCAGCGGTCAAAGATTTAGACTAAGACTTTAAAGAAAAAATACTTTTAAGTATTTTTTGTTTGTATCTACTTTGATTGAATTTCCCCCTGAATTTCTTCTCAGTACTACATAGTTTATTAAAATAAATATTACTATAAGAGTATGCCTTACTAGCCAGGAACAGTGGCACATGCCTATAATCCCAAAACTCAGGAAGCTGAGGCAAGAAGATTGCCAGAAGTTTGAGGCCAGCCTGAGCTACATAGCAAGATCCTGCCTCAAAAAAATAAAAAACAAAACAAAAAAAGCTGATCACTGTATACCCTAAAAATAGGTCAGGTGAAACTAAAAATTATATTGCTAATTATAGTTCATTATTTTTAAATATGTACTAGTTAATTCCAACCTGCTATCTGACCTAGTAATTTGACTAATAAATATCTAATGTTCAAGCTAAATGTCTTAGGTTCAAACACACAGTATTTGGCCAGTAGATAACTTGTTGAATTCCCAAAAACTAGGATATCTACAGTTATAAGATTACAAAACCATCTTTGGAACAAAGTTAATCTAATTTTAAAATAATGCCACATTGTACTTTTTAGCCAAATGGAGACAGCACAGTAAAATCAAAGGCTATTCAAGATGATTTCGGTAAGGTTTTGAACAGTAGGTTTTTGGTTTTGGTACCAGGGATGGAACTCAGTGGTGCCACTGAGCTAAATCCCCGGCCCTTGAACAGTAATTTTTAATAGTAGTTTTATGGTGATCATTATTTCCACGATTTCCTATGCTAAAGTTTTCACTGTAAAGACTAAAAACAAAAAACAAAAAAAAAAGCCTTTGGTTTTGGTAATTGTATGGCAACCATATTTTCTTAGGTCTAGCGTGTGGTCCTAAAGAGCCAGGAATCCAAAGAATCCCATCTCCTGCTCTACAGAGCCCGACCTTGGGGAGACTGGTTCGGAGTCTGTGTGATGACCAAGGTCGTGGGCATGGCTACAGTTCTGGGCCCCAGGCCACCTCAGCAGCAGCTGGGTCCTGTGATTCTGAAAGTCAAGGAGGAGGAAGAGAAAGGGAAGTGCCTTCCTAGCCTGGAGATATTCCGCCAGCGCTTCAGGCAGTTTGGGTACCATGACACCCCGGGGCCCCGGGAGGCCCTGAGCCAGCTCCGGGTGCTCTGCTGTGAGTGGCTGCGTCCCGAGCTGCACACCAAGGAGCAGATCCTGGAGCTACTGGTGCTAGAGCAGTTCCTGACCATCCTGCCCCCGGAGCTCCAGGCCTGGGTGCAGGAGCACTGCCCTGAGAGCGCTGAAGAAGCCGTCACCCTCCTGGAAGATCTGGAGCAGGAATTGGATGAACCAGGACTGCAGGTAGGCAGGGGAAGCCTTTTTTACTCCAGGAGATTGGAAGCATAGCATTCCGCCAGGAAGAAGGGTTTGTCTGCTTAACAAGATTAGCAAAAAGGAAGCTTCTAATGAGTTAGACCATGTTTCCGCCTGGTTTTGTTTTTTGGGGTTTTTGTTTTTGTTTTTTCCTTACCTAAACTACCATTAGCCTTGGGAATTGAACAAAATGGGTGGTTTTTTCTTTCCTAGAGGTTCCACATAGCTCTTCTAAGATTTTTTTCATTTTAGTTCTTAAAATGAGCTGGGCATCTTGTTCCCCACCTTAGGGAGAAAGCACTGTATCTTCTCCATTCACATAAGATATTTTTTCTGGAAGTACGGAGTACATGTCTTATCCTTTGAGAAGGTTCTGTTCTACTTCTAGTCTCCTGATAGCTTTTACAATGAACAGCTGTAGATTTAGTCCAATACTTTTTCTGCAACTAATGACAGGATCATATGGCTTTTTCCTTTCCTCTGTTAAAATGATGACTTATGGGGGTGGATCTTCCAATGCTGAACCAACACTGCCATCCCTATAATAAAACCACTTCCTACATACTGCCAGATCTGACTTCTAATAGTTTGTTTTGTTAAACAAATTTCTATCTGTGTTCATACTTTTTTCTTCTATTATCTTTATCCAATTTTAGGATTAGCACAATGTTGAGTTCCTAAAATGAGGGGAGAAGTGTTCCTTCTATTTTCTGCTTTAAATGTTTGATATAATTCATCAGTTAAAATGAATAAGAGGGCCGGGGATTTAGCTCAGTGGTTCTGCTGCCTGCCTCGCAAGCGCAAGGTCCCGACTTCGGTCCCCGGTACCAAAAAAAAAATGTATATGTGCCTGTTGTCATATAGTTAGGTTTTCAAGCTAGGAATATACTTTCTTTAATAGGTGCTATTCAAATTTTATATTTCCTCCAGAGTCAGATTCATTAATTTATCTTCCAAGGTACTTCTTAGAAGTTGTCAAATTTATTTCAAAAAAGATTTTTGTAATATGCTTTCTATATCCTTTTAAATTCTGTAAAATCTGTGGTAATGTCTTCTAAATTTTGATATTGTAATTAAAACAATGTATAATTGATATGGTGTAATAGGAAGAAAAGGTCTAAAGGATAGGGGAAGAGGGAGGGGTAGGGAAAAGGAAAGAAGGGAAAAGAAAAAAGATGAGAAAAGGAGAAAATGGAAACAAAGTCTTTGCAAATAGGGAAGGGTGGAGGGGATGAAGGGAGGACAGGGGAAGGGGAAAAAATAAGAACCCAGATGTATCATGTACAGGTACAAGTTCCCGGTGATGAATGTAACTGTATTTTATACCTAAAATGTACCGATAAACTTAATGGAAAAAATGAGCTGGACATAAACTCAGCCATTTTTTTTTATACTGTGTCTAGGTCTCAACTCCTCCAAATGAACAGAAACAAGTGTGGGAGATGTCAACAGCAGGAGCAGCAAAGGAGTCCCCAAGCAGTGTGCATTCTCTGGAGGCCAGTCCTAAGTATGAATCTTGGGGGCCCCTGTACATCCAAGAGACCGGTGAGGAAGAGGACTTAACTCGAGATCCAAGAAAGAGTCGAGGTGAGGACCATATCTTAGTGCCTCCAGGCTTTGCAGTTGAAGCAGCAAAATAATTCATAATTCTGGTCTGAGGTGATCCCTAGATTGACTTGTCTGGTCGGGTGGACTAGGTGAAGTAGTTAGCTTTGCTCTCCCAGATATACCTCCCTCAGGTAGGGTCCCAGCTTGAGAACAAATGGAACACTCTTTATGGGTTGATTGAAGTGAGTTCAGTAAAGGGACTGCTTACAGGGCTGTGGACTGGTCAGTAAGAACACTGCATTGGACAAAAGTAAAAAGGCAATACTCCTGTGAACCTCAAGAATCAGCAGAGAGGAACAGTTCCCAGAAGCAGATGAGAGCTCTAGCCTTGGCAGTGAGAGAGAAATCATTTGCCAGGACCTGTGACTGTGGGCCCTGCCATCAGGAAGGGAGAGAACAGAGGGAATAAATAATCCCAGTTTTATACTGCTCCTGCCTGCACATCTGCTGGTGCCCCCAACAACCCCAGCAAGCCCAGTGGGGAGCCAGAGGACAGGGGAACCAAGGCAGTGCATCCCTGAGGTCAGCTTCCTGGGGCACAGAGTAAGACAGGGTCGATCTGTAAGTGGTATAGACCACTATTTGTGCACATGGTAGGCATTCCTGAGCACAGCCCATGGCCTTCAGAAATCTCCTCCTCCTTACGTATTCACTGTGTCCTGGACTTGTGAATTCCATCTTGGAAGCAAAGTTTTGAGCCTTGTTAAAAATCAATTCTCATCCTAGTACATGGGTGGCTGAGGCACAAGGATCATGAGTTTGAGGCCAGCCTGAATTACATACTAAGACCCTGTCTCAGAACACCAAAAGGTAATCCCAGCACTTGGGAAGCTGAGGCAGGAGGATTGCCATGAATTCAAGGCCAACCTGAACTACATAGACCCTCTCAAAAAACTTTTAAAAAAAAAGTCACATTGTCTGGGCAAAATTTAAAAAACTATTAGCTAAATGTTTCACTCTTTTTCATTGTTTTTTTCTTTTTTGGTACCAGGGATCGAACTTGGGTCCTTGCACTTGCGAGGCAGGCAGTGGAACCACTGAGCCAAATCCCCGGCCCCTCTTTTTCATTGTTAATACCAGTCCTTGTCTGTAGTCAGTTGGAGCCTTCCAGGAGTTGCCAGAGTAATTAAAGATACAATAACCAAAGATAAATCTGGTCAGTTTTATTTTCCATCTTTCTTGGCATAACCACTTGGCAGTGAAAGGACGAATAGAAAGGAAGGATTATCAGAGCCAGAAAAAGTTAAACTAGAAAAGTCCAGTAGTATGGGATACAGTAAGGAAATTTGGCAGTCTGTCTGAGCTCTGAATAGAAATGGAAGCACACCCTGCAAGCCTAGGATGTTTATCTCAGTTTGATATGAGATCTGACTTGACTTTACCTGAGTGGCCCAGAAACCTAGCAAAGAAATTAACACATGGGGCCGGGGATTTAGCTCAGTGGTTTCACTGCCTGCTGCGCAAGCACAAGGACCCGAGTTCAATCCCCAGCACCGAAAAAGAAAAAGAAATTAACACATAAATATTGGCTCTGAGTATGGAGCAGAAGTTAATGTGAAGACACAGACAGAATATTCCAATAAATTCTAGAATCATGCAGCCCATACAGGAATCCTTTAGGATGGGAGTAGAGGGAACAGAGTCTTTCTAGAGAATAAAAATTGTGAAATAGGGCTGAGGATGTAGCTCAGGGGTAGAGTGCTTGCCTAACATGTGCAAGGCCCTGCATTCGATTTCCAGTACCACCAAATAAAAAGTGTGTATGTTTATAAACAAATAGAAAATACCTAAGGGGAACATGAGCTAGTAGATACTAAAGAAAAGTTAAAGCCTAAACAGTGATTTCATTGATGATAAAATTACCTTACAAAATAAGTTGGTTTAAAATAATTTAAGACATAAAATTAAGTGGGTATGGCCATGCACACCTGTAATCCCAGCATGAAGGAGGCTAAAGCAAGAGAGTTACCACTAATTTGAGGCCAGCCTGGACTACATAGTGAGTTCAGGGCCATCCTGAAAGAAAATGCAACCTCAAAGTAAAAGAACATTTAAAAAAAAAAAAGGCAGCCCTGATAAAAACAAAATAGAGCTTCTAAGTGTGAAATCTATGGGCACTGAAATTAAGAGAATGACTGTCTTAATTAAAGAAGTGATTAGTGAACTAGAGGTTAGATCAGAGAAAGTTACGTGAAACGTTGTATAGGAAGGAAGGGTCTGAGGACACTGGAGGACTGCATATCTGTTCAAGAGTTCTAGAAGAAGAAGCCTGGGGATTTAATTCACTGCCATGCACCTGCCTCACAAGCATAAGGTCCTGAGTTCGATGCCTAGTACCAAAAAAAAAGTTCTAGAAGTAGAGAGTACAATCAGGACAGACAATATTCAGAAAAAGAAAATGGCTGAGAATTGTCCAAAAGTGATTGTGGAAACAGTGAATTTAAGCACGCTAAACAAGAAAGAATCTAGATACTGAAAAAATTCAGAAGTGGGGCCAGGATTTAGCCCAGTGGTTCTGACGCCTGCCTCAAAAGCGCAAGGTCTCGAGTTCGATCCCCAGTACCAAAAAAAAAGAAAAACTTCAGAACTGAAAATTTTGTGGAGTGTCTTAAAAGAAGCTAAGATAGAAGACATTATGCATACAAAGAATGATAATTGCAGTGATAGCAAATAAACTCTGAATTGTAACAGTACAGGTGGGAAAACAGTGAAATAAATAGTTTCTTTTTCAGCTTCTGCCTGGGTAGACTAGTTTTTAAATGTTAGCTGTTGTAAGTTTTTCCTTCCCACATATGTGGTTTTTGTCTCTGCAGTAATTAAATGTTTTGTGTGTAGCCAAATGGTTGCTCATCATTGAGAGTGAAGAGGATTCTAGGTTCTACAATTCTGCTCAGTGCCAGCCAGTGTGTGGGGATGGGCCTTGAGGCAGCTAGTGGCAGAGAAGAGAGGTGGTTGAGTGGAGAGACAGGAGTGGCAGGTCCTCTGGGAAAGAAAGACAGGCCTGGTGAAGAAAGGACCCTGCTGATTGAGGCTTCCTTAACCCTGGAGGGATGGTCTCCTGCTTTTTCACCTGTGTGGTTAGAAGGATGTTTAGGAATTGTGACTGCTGAATGAAATACTTTTAAAAGGATGAACTTGTTCACACAGCTTTCAACAATGAGTGTCACTTTAGAACTAAAAGAATGACAAGGCAGCCAGGTGTGGGGTTTGTACCTGTAATCCCAGTGCCCTGGGAGGCTGAGGTGGGAGGATCCCAAATGGCACCCCAGCTTGGGCAGCTTCACTGCTTAGTAACACACTGTCTCAAAATTTTAAAAGGGCTGGGAATGTAGCTCAGTGCAGAGGCCCTGGGTTCAATCCTCAGTACCAAAAAAAAAAAAAAAACACAGCCAACATAAGTTAAATAACAAGAGTTAAACTTCTGTGGCAGTCAGGTACTTTCACCCAGACTAGTAAACATGTGGCGCCAGCTCACAGTTGAACTGACTGTCCTCCTCGATAGCATTTATGTTCAGTTCTGTGGAAATATAGGTCGTGCAGGTTTGCCATGCAGCCTCTTCTCCCTTAATTGTCCATGTTTTCCTTAGTCACCTTTGGCCTTGTTGGCTTCTGACTGTACACCATCTGTCTCCTTTGCTCCTGTCCAGATATGCTTGTTTTTGCCTGGCGTATATGAAGCTCTTAGCAGAAAAGGCTGTGTAGTCAGCATACTGTAATAGTTTCTGGTAGGGGGCTCGTGTGAAAGTGTGAAAGTGCAGTGTAACTCGATCGAATGATTTACTTCTCTCTCTGTGATGTGACCTCTCATGGAACTGAATTTAGTCACCCTTCAGAATCCATCAGTCTCGTGTGCTGATCCTGTTTCTCCTATGACAGCTTCCTCCTCAGCCCAGGAAACAATTGACTTGGCCTTACTCTGCTTCTTATTTCAGATTGTAAATTGAGTCATCCCCAGAATGAGGAATCAGCAGATGAGCAGAACAGTTCTAAAGAAGAGTCTGGCGCCGATGGACTCGAGAAGGACATCATTCCTGTGATTATTGCCAATAAGTGTGAGGCCAGGTCAGACAGGCCATGGGTAAATCTTGAAAAGCAGAGAGGAGTAAAAACTGCTCTTCAAGAAACAGGTTCTAAGAAAAGGGCAGACTCAGCTCCTACTAAACCAACCCCAGGAGAAAGACGTTACATATGTGCTGAGTGTGGAAAAGCCTTTAGTAATAGTTCAAATCTTACCAAACACCGGCGAATACACACTGGGGAGAAACCTTACGTGTGCACCAAATGTGGGAAGGCTTTCAGCCACAGTTCCAACCTTACCCTTCATTACAGAACCCACTTGGTAGACAGGCCCTATGACTGTAAGTGTGGGAAGGCCTTCGGGCAGAGTTCAGACCTCCTTAAACATCAGAAGATGCACACAGAAGAGGCTCCGTACCAGTGTAAAGATTGTGGGAAGGCGTTCAGTGGCAAGGGCAGCCTCATTCGACACTATCGCATCCACACTGGGGAGAAGCCCTATCAGTGTAATGAGTGTGGGAAGAGCTTTAGTCAGCATGCGGGTCTCAGTTCACATCAGCGCCTCCATACTGGAGAGAAGCCCTATAAATGTAAGGAATGTGGGAAAGCCTTTAACCACAGCTCAAATTTTAATAAACATCATAGAATCCATACTGGGGAAAAGCCCTATTGGTGCAGTCATTGTGGAAAAACCTTTTGTAGCAAGTCAAATCTTTCCAAACATCAGAGAGTGCATACTGGAGAGGGAGAAGTGCTGTAATTGTCAAAAATTCCCTTTGGCTGTTGTTTTTGTTCTTGTAAACATTAGAATGTGAATGTTAGGGAGAAGTCCTGTAATGCAGTAACAGCTGATAGATTTTGCTACACTCAGCATCAAAGGCCGCCCTTGGAGTGAGCTCCGCAGGGGTACTGTAGGCAAGAGGTCCTCAGAGAGCAGCAGTGGGCTCTGCCATGGACGCCTCCCAAGGCACAGTCCCTGCCCTACACTGCAGGACCCCATGAACCATGCCAGCATTGCCTTCTGCATAGTTAAATTGATGTGTATCCAGTATAATTAAGGAAGAAACATTAAAACTTGTTTAGCTGTTGTATTCTAGAATTGTAATTTGTAAAGAATTGAGCCATACTGAATAGAATTTAATAAAATTCAGAATAAACTTAAAACATCATGTCATGCCTCAGGACTAATATTTTGATAAGTGGTGTGTTGCTTACTGAACACTGTTGGAGACAAAACTATTCCTACTGGTTGAGTTTTTGGAACATTTGGGTAAAGCTTTTGAAGCTTGGGAATACTGTATGTGTGTGAAGAAGTTGTAATATGTCTGATAGCTGCATATTGACCAAAATTTCCCTCCCTACATGCTGATACATATATATACATTCAAATATACATACATATATTTTTTTCATTATAGGTTTCATTTTGTCAGCCTTGTGTATTTTTCCTGTCAAAGTCTATGAAAAGTGACTCCCTAAGCAGCTTCCCTCTGAAACTTGAGAAGTCATCACAGTATGATTACCTTAAATCCACCCTACCTTTCCCTATGACCTCTTAAAACACTTCCTCTCTCTAGCTTCTGTCTCAGCCAGTTTCTCCTGCTAACTGGAAACCTGGCTACTTTCACTACTTCCTTGAATCACTCGCTTTCCTTCATACAATGACAGGTATTTTCCACTTCTTTGATTAGTAGTCACTGAAATAATCTTTTTTCCTGCTGCTGAGCCTGACATGCCAGGATGGATAGCAAGAAATTTTCATGTTCAGTACCAGATACAATCCCTAGAAACTGCCCTCCATGTAATCCTGGGAATCAGATGAAGCCACAGGTGAGTCTTCATGTACTGGCCAAATACAGGTGGTGGGGGGGGGGGTGTCACTGAAATTGAAAATGAATTTTCTTACTCTTCTAGTAACTTGCTGAAGATGTCCTGCCAACACATTAAAACTCAGTATATTATGATGACCTATCTGGTCTGTATACTGTGATGAAGGCCAACAGAATTTAATCATCAGGTAGCAGCTTTGTTGCCTAGCATGGTAGTTAAGTTACTTTACCTCTGGCAGCTAAATGCCACCACCTTACCTCTGTTAATGCAGAATTCAGTCATCCCCACTGACACTACAGAACAGTTCCATAGCCGAATCATCACCTACTGCTAATCCCAGCCTCAATGACACCTGCCACTGACATCCTTGAGCACCCCTGATTAGTGAATGAGTTCTTTGGGTCCTCCAACGCAGGGGTCCCCATCCCTGGACCATAGATCGGAACCTGTCTAGGGCCTGTTAGGAACCAGGCCACACAGCAGAAGATGAGTGAGGAGTGAAGCTTCTTCAATATTTACAGCTGTTCCCCATTGCTTGCATCACCACCTCAGCTCTGCCTCCTGTCAGATCAGTGATGGCAGTAGGATCTCACAGGGCGTGAACCCTACTGTGAACCCTGCAAATAAAATTGTCTTCCATAAATTTTGGAGACTGGGCCAGGGATTTAGCTCAGTGGTTCCACTACCTGCCCCGCAAATGCAGGGACCTGAGTTCGATGCCCGGTACCAAAAAAAAAAAGATTGGAGACTACTGCTCTAGTGTGCCATAGTTCAGTGTTGGGTTTTCAGGTCTCATACAATCTCCTAATTAGTTCTAGCATCTCTAGTCCTTTACCACCAGCCATGTTCATATATTCATGGCCAGGTTTTAAAGAATTGGGATTCTTTTGGTTTTTGTTTGGTTTTGGCAGTACTGGAGATCCTTGGCAGGCCTTTACACAGAGCTACATACCCAGCCCTTAACTTTATTTTGAGACAAGGTCTCGCTGAGGCACTAATTTGCCCAGGCTGGGCTTGAACTTGTGATCTTCCTGCTTCAGCCTCCCAGAGTGCTAAGATCACAGGTGTGCACCACCACATCTGGCAAGAATATTCTTTCCTGTTGTTGCAATAAATTACCACAAATTTGGTGTCCTAAAACAGTACAATTTATTATCTTATGGTTCTGTAGATTAGAAGTTTGAAATGGGCCTCACTGGTCTAAAATCAAGGTGGCAGCAGGGATGTGTCCTTTTGTGAAGGCTCTTGGAGAAACTTATCTCCTTACCCTTTCCAGCTTCTAGAGACCCCCATACTCTAATCTTATCCCTCCATCTTCAAAGCCAGGCACATAACATCTCTGGCCATTCTTCCTTAGTCACCTCCAACCTCTTGACTCTTCTGCCTCCTCCACTTTTAAGAGCCCTCTTTATTACAGTGGAGCCACCTGGGTAATCACACTATCTTCAGGGTTAGCAACCTCATTCCCCAAATTCCAGGGTTGGGATTTAGCTATCTTTGGGGGCCATTATCCTGCCTACCACACACTGTCTCCAAATATGTTTGCAAGACATTAGAACCTGACAGTTCTCCCTGTTAATACTCCCCCATCCCAGCTTATTCTGCACTCCAGCACCACAATTCCCTCTCCCAATGGCCCAGTGCTTCAAGAGCTGCGCGCCCATGTATTCCTCAGTGAGGCTCCGAAACACTCCAGGGAAAAAGCCGTTTTCTCTTGCAACAGAGAAGCCACTGGAACTACACTGAGACCTAATCCTAGTTGCTTCGTATGCATCAGGAAGATGGGGACAGATGTTTTTGAGGAGGGCAGGCATTATCATGGGAGGCATCAGCCCAGGTGAGATCTTTGCATGGCCTCCAGGAAAAATAAATATAAGGCTGTTCTCCTCTAGCAAGGGGGAGAGGAAAGCATCTCCTACTGAGCCATGGGTTTCTGGAAAATTGAGCATTAAATTATTTGTTGTTTATCCAAAATTCAAATTTCTCGGATGTCCTATATTTTTACTTGTTAAATTTGGCAGCCCTTAAGAGAAAAGGTGGTGGGTAGAAACAACCTGAGTAGAATTCAAGAAGATGAATATTAACAATAAGGGCAGCCAGGTATGGTGGTGCATGCCTGTAATCCCAGCACGCGGAGGCTGAGGCAGGAGGATCACAAATTCAATCCTCACTTGGGCAACTTAGCAAGACCCTGTCTCAAAAGGGTTATGGATGTGATTCAGTACAAAGACCCTGGGTTCAGTTCCCAGTATCCACTGCTCCCCCCCCAAAAAAACCGACAGCAAAGGCATCAAATTATAACATTAGAACCACATGTGACCCAGGTTTTTTCTTTTGTTTGAAAACATTAGAGGCTACTAAGGAAATAATGTGAAAATGCACAGATGCTATTATTTTCAGTAAACAGTTCTGGAGTAACTGGATGTCCACACACAAAAACAAAAAACAAAACAAAAAAAATGGCTGTAGACACAGACCTTATACCATTCACAAAAACTCAAAATGGATCACAGACCTAAAGGAAAAACAAAAACTATACAGTGCTAGAAGATAATAGAAAATCTAGATGACTCTGGGTTTGGCAATGACTAAGGATACAACACCAAAGGCACAACCCCATGAAATAATTGATCAGTTGAATTTAATTAAAATTAAGAATTAGCCAGGCAGCATGGTACATGTCTATAATCCCAGCTATTTGAGATTCTGAGGCAGAGGATCGTGAGTTCAAGGCCAGCCTGGGCAACATAGCAAGACCCTCTTATTTTTAAAAAAATTAAAAATTGGGCTGGGGATTTAGCTCAGTGGTTTCACTGCTTGCCTCGCAAGCACAAGGTCCTGAGTTCAATCCCCAGTGCCAAAAAAAAAAAAAATTAAAAATTGTTTGCCTGTGTACAGTCACTTTGGAAGGTAATTTGATGGTTTCCTACAAAAACTAAAGATATTCTTTCCATATAATCCAGCAATCACATTCTGGTGTTTACCCCAAGGAGCTGAAAACTTACATCCATGCAAAGACCTGCATACAGATGTTTATAGCAGCTTTATCCATACTTGCCAACACTTAGAAACTCCAAGATGTCCTTTGGTAGGTGAATAGATAAACTGTGGTACATCCAGACAATAGATTATTATTGATCTCTATGAAGAAATGAGTAGCTGGGCATGGCATACACCTGTAATCCTAGCACTCAAGAGGCTGAGGTAGAAGGATCTTAAGTTCAAGGCCAGCCTAAACTACATAGCCAGACTGTTTCAAAAACCAGAACCAGGAGTGGAAAGAAGGAGAAATGATCAAGCCATTAAAAGACTTGGAGGAAACTTAAATGTATTTTAGTAAGTGAAAATAGCCAATCCAAAAAGTTTATGTACTATATGATTTCACCTCTGTGAATCCTAGAAATGGCAAAACTACAGAGACAACCAAAGGATCAGTGGTTGCCAGGGTTTGGGAGGCAGGGATGAAAGGTGGAGTACTGAGGATTTTCAAGGCAATAAAATTACTCTGTCTGAGGGGCTGGGGATTTAGCTCAGTGGTTACGCCACCTGCCTCAAAAGCACAAGGACCTGAGTTCGATCCCCAGTACCAAAAAAAAAAAAAACAAAACCACTACTCTGTCTGAGACTGTAATGCTAGATATATGTCATAAATTGTCTAAATCCACAGAATGTGCACCAAAAGTGAACTCTAATATAAACTGTGAACTTTGGATGATAATATGTCAATGTAGGCTCAACTGTAATAACCAAATGTACCATTCTGGTAGGGGATGTTGAAGATTGGGAAGTTACATGTGTGAGAGGACAGGGGATGTACATGGGAAAGTCTATGCCTTTCATTCAGTATTGCTGTGAATGTAAAGCTGTCCAAAAGAAGAAAGCCTAGAACTTGGTGTGGTAGTGCAGGCCTGTAATCTCAGCACTCTTGGGAGACTGAGGCAGGAGAATCACTAGTTCAGGCCCAGCTTGGGGCAACTTAATGACTTTGTAAGACTCAGTGTCTCAAATTTAAAAAAATAATAAAGAAAGGGCTGGGGATATAGCTCAGTGCAAAGGCCCAGGGTTGATGTTGAGCTAACCACTTCCATCTTTGGGGCCCAAGGATGCAAGAAACTCCCTGGGAAAGCGTGGGAAAACTCAAGACAAGGAATGCCACAGTCAAGGCCCAGACTGGCAGCACAGGCTAAACTTAGAAGGTGGAAGTGACTAGGCTGTGATTCAGGGATCTACCTAGATCCAGGGATCAAACAGTTTTCTGCCATTTGTGGCTTTTCTGAGCTCAGGCAGTGCTTTTAGCAAAACCCTTGTGGCCATACCTACTAATGCACAAGCTTTCTGT